TGTCAGCGTGGAGATAGAAACCAGTTGCGGGTTTTCGGACAATACTTCGTCACCAAGGTAACTTTAAGCCTAAAGAAAAAAAAATCGTTTAGATTTCATTTTAAACAACTAATAATATGTCGTTGCCGTAACAGTAAAGTACTGAAGGAAATTCTGAAGAATCAGTTCGTGAAATTTTCTTATTCTTTTCGTACGGAATAATTTTGAATTCGTTTAAGTATTCTGTAATTTAATTTTCTAATAACATCCATGTTTTACCAAAAAAAATCCCTAATCCTGTTACCGGATTAGTTAAAATATCACATGATAAACTATTACTGATTAAACCTAGTTGGAAAAACTGAACTTCACCTCTAATTTCTTTACTTTTTATAATGTCCCCCGGAGGGACAGCGGTAAGCCTTCGGATTTACAGTGCTAAAATCAGGGGTTCGATTCCCATCGGTGAACACAGCAGATGGCCCGAAGTGGCTTTGTTATAAGAAAATACACACACACACAATTTTTATTAAATATAATTAGTCTCATATTAATATTTTACGTTTTTGTTTGTTTTATTGTTAATCACAAAGCTACACAATATGTGCGTTGACCACTGCGGATATCGCAACTTGATTTTTTTGCGTTAATAACAATCAGACTTACCTATGAGCCACCGGGGGAGGGGGTGGGGGCTTTTGTAGTAGCTAGTTGATCATTTCATATCACTATAGCTATATTTACTTTCCAAAAGCTTTGATAATATTATTATTTTATCATTATATTGTATTTAGGCCAGAATACTGTTATTTTTTTCCTGGATAATCCTTATTTGCATTCACTAATAAACTTACTGATGGTATTACTATAATTTTGTCTGTAAAAAAAAGATATACCATGTAATTTTGTCTGTAAAAAAAAGATATACCAAGTAATTTTGTCTGTAAAAAAATATATACCTGGTAATTTTGTCTGTAAAAAAATGATATAACAGGTAATTTTGTTTGTAAAAAAAAGATATACCAGGTAATTTTGTCTGTAAAAAATGTATACCAGGTAATTTTGTCTGTAAAAAAAAAGATATACCAGGTAATTTTGTCTGTAACAAAAAGATATACCATGTAATTTTGTCTGTAAAAAAAGATATACCAGGTAATTTTGTCTGTAAAAAAAAGATATACCTGGTAATTTTGTCTGTAAAAAAATGATATACCAGGTAATTTTGTCTGTAAAAAAATATATGCCAGGTAATTTTGTCTGTAAAAAAAGATATACCAGGTAATTTTGTCTGAAAAAAAAAGATATATCAGGTAATTTTGTCTGTAAAAAAAAAGATATATCAGGTAATTTTGTCTGTAGAAATATAAGCCGTAATCTTCTTCCTTCTTCATAAGTTTAACACAACCATTTTTCATGTATACTATTATAATATCTAGTTATTTAAAATGACTTTTAATTATGTGTAAATACTCTTTGTTTACTCTAAAATAAAGAATATAAGCTGTAATCTTGTTCCTTCTTCATAAGTTTAACACAGGTACTTTTGTCTGTAGAAACAAAGATATACCAGGTAATTTTGTCTGTAAAAACAAAAATATACCAGGTAATTTTGTCTGTAAAAACAAAGATATACCAGGTAATTTTGTCTGTAAAGAAAAGATATACCAGGTAATTTTGTTTTATGCCTATCTTCAAGAAAAGTAGTATCTTTTACTAAAAGTGTTGCGTATATACTGGCAAAATAGAATAACTTGAATAATTATTTTTTGACAATGTACGAGGGTGTTATATCACAGATTTGTCAGTTTTAGGGTCAGTAGAGATGTAAATATGTGTCCTGTAGTAACATGTGACCGATAAGAATCAGGATAAAAGAGGACACGTATCCCTATGTTGACAATATGAAGTATTCCGGAATGAATATCATTACAGGAATGTATGTGTTTTATGAAGATAAAGGAAGACACGTGCGCTTTGAATGATAATATGGAATATTCCGGAAGGGATATCATTATAAAAGTTTGTGTTATTTCAAGCAACGTTTCAGACAATCACTCTAAAGTAAAGCCTGGCGAAGGCGTCTTGCTCGAAACGTTGATTGAAGTGATATAACTGCAACATTGTGTGTGTGTGTGAACATTCAACTATTTACGTCATGAGATTAACGGTTTGTACCAGGAATGATAGCTTATCGACGTAAACTTGTTCAGTGATAGTCGGAATTCACGTTCTTCGGTCCTCAGGTGACGCCGTTCTTGGATAGTTGTACGGCAGTGAAGCGTCGCTGTCATAACTCGCAAACGGCTTAAAATAGAACAATTGAATTGAGAGTGTGGAAACCCGATAAATTAAAACCACCAACAGTGTCATTCTGACCAGACGTGACGTCATTCAAGGATACCTGGATGGCGGTGCCATAACTCACGAACGGTAAAACCAGTAGTAAGGTTGTTTTGACGACAGATGTGATGTACTTCGTTAAAGTAGCACGAACCCTCATCTTCATGATGTTCAATATGGTAGTTATATGAGTTGAAACATCTTCAGAACTTGTTATTTCGTAATATAAACGAACGTGACGCACGTGTTCTATAATTGATATTGCTTCTGACAATTACGAGTTCTAGCGACGCCGTGCCGGTTTGGTCTGTTTTACGTAATGTTATTTCTAACGCAAAATGTCGAATATATATATATATATATGTGTTTTGTAACAAATAATAATAATAATCTCACCGACTAACAAAAATGAAAGAAAAACATGTACAAGTGTACAATGATGCTAGGCCTTGTTTGTATATCACTGAACGATCAATGAAATATCTTAGCTACCTCCTAACTATGACACTCAGTTTTGTGATTTATTCTATAAATCCTGGATAAATTAATAATGGTTCAGGATTTTCAATATCACGAAATTAGTTAACTTTGCACGTAGGCAGATCCAAGAAGGTCAGGACAACATAGAGGTGAAGTTGTTACCATGGGAACTACATCCTAGCCACTGACGCTGCGCTGAGATGGATGTTACTTGCAACATCCATTACTGCGTGATGTTTCTAATCTTGCGGCGACGTAGAGTTAGTTACCAACTAGACCATCGTTGCTTAGCTTGTAGTTGCCATGGCAATCCTTCCGCGACTCCCTCACTGTCGGTAGACCTTCAAGAAACTGTGGAGCGTGGGCGTAGTATCACCTACACAGACTCACGAAAGATCTCGACTTGCGCACTAAAAGAGTAGGGTTTGTTCACTGACCTGTACAGAGTTTGAATATAATTTCGTTTTCGTTTTCATTTCCTGAGCTGGTGTGGGAAAAGGTAGTATCTTCCTTTCCCGCCGTGCGGCGCTGGTGAATGAAGCATATACGAGTATGTAATTCCATGAAAAGCATGTAACAGAATGCGTTTCAACTAGAAATAACCTATGACCTTTTCAACATTCGAGAACCTCTACCCTACAAGACATCTCTAGCAAGCCAGATACCTAAACAACGAATTGTTCTGTTACTGTGATTTCAATGTAGGAAATGGTAACTGTCTTTCAAACCTCTCGGATAGTACAAGATCATTCCTGGTAACTGTCTTCAAAACCTCTCGGATAGTACAAGATCATTCATGGTAACTGTCTTTCAAACCTCTCGGATCGTACAAGATCATCATGGTAACTGTCTTCAAAACCTCTC